TATATATATATATATATATATATATATATATATATATACATATTTTCTAACATCATATCTTGCCGTTTCATGACATTCTACATCATTTCCAAGCAAAATCAGAAGATCGTAAAAATGGGCGATTACAAAGCTCCCATGCGGAAGCAAAAAAGAAGAAGGCTAATAGCAAAAAATAACGATTCACATCCCAAAAATAACGGTATGAATTTTTGTGAAATTTTCACAGTTAAATTTCTCACAGACCACGTTTCACGTTTCTAAATGACTTGACGAAAGTTTTTATCTTCTTAGTCCAAGATATTTTACTCTTGAAAATTTTCAAGTCAGAAGTTTCTTGATATTTATAAATAAAGACGTATATCTCAAAAAAAAACTTTGTTTTTGTCAGTGTGAAAAATGAATTTACCTGCTCAAAGACGTCGTCCGGCCTAAAATCTCCAAAAGCCTCCCAAACGACTCGAGTGTTTCGTTCCTCAAAAAATCGAACTCTGATGTCTTCTTTCATAATTTTCTGGCAGAATATCATCAACGGTGTTCCTCCAGCAACTGAAGCCACAACAGAACTCAATTGACATATCGTCAAATCGAGTGTTAATTGTTTAGCGTGAATGGGATCAGACACCACAGGTTTAAGTTTGATTTCACATTGCTTTGCGTTGGTTCCAGGTGGTCGAAGATATACCTGAAAACATAGTCTGACTGCGTTCAAGTCATCAGCTGAAATCTGAGTGGGATCAAAGCCCTTTCCAAACGGATCCACGCCAGTCTGTTTCCTTTCCTCTAGCGCCTTTTTCACATCTTTTCGTTTGACACATTGAATGCCCAAGTTCTTGAATTCAATTATGTTGCTGTCTGGTTCTAGGGTTGTGGTAAATATACCATTATGTGAGCCGGGCTCTTTGCTCACAACGCGATAGGGATGAGCTCTGTATTGGTCTTTTGTCACGCAGGAGACAATAACTCGGCCATTTAACCAGGGCCCAATAATCTGGAGAATGAAACAAAATGAGTAATTTCAGAATTTTCTGGTGGAAAACAGGTTTTCAATTGAAAGCCCGAGTTGAAGACCCGAGTTTGTAGCAAAGATGTCAGACAAGATATGAATGTTTTTTTGAGCTCAAACGAAAGAGCGGGTCGAGAAATGGCGTGCTAGGACCTCT